ATTTAATATATACAGCCTAAAATGTTATTAATCTTATCATATCATTTTAAACAGATTTAATTAACTTGATTATCTTTTATGCACAGAAATTTTCACGTAAGCTCACATAATAAATTAAAACTCAACTATTAATATTTTTGTTTCGAAACAAAATAATTTAAATTAGAGTTTATTAAATGAAATATATATTATCCACATTGAATATCTTTCAGTTTAAAAAATTTATGGATATATTTTATTTAGTTAAATTAATAATTTGTTATTAGAATAAATAATACTAACTATTTTATTTTTCTAATATGACATTAAATATTGCATTAAAATTAAAAAGAAAAATTGTTTGTGCTTTTTTCTTTCTTTTCAATAGAGAAAATCATTAAAGTTGTTATGGGGCACTCATGGCATTGGTTTTCAAAATGGTGGTATAATTTTTATAAGGATGAAATATGAGGACTTTTGTTTGTAAATTTTCTAGACATTTCAAAGTTGGTATTAATTATATATTATTTGGTTGGAATAGTCTAACAAATAAGATGCATTAGTTAAAACTTGTAAATTTTGTCTTCTCATGAAATGTGTTTTAATTATGAAATTCATCACTTACTTTTGAGTACTTTTCAAATTGATCATTCAAAATTTATTTAAAATGATTAAGCAACACACAAACGAAAAAAGTTCGGTATTAGTTAATTAATTAGCCTAATTATAATAGGATGTATCGACTACAAAATTACAAACCAATATCTCTGTTTGAAATTGAATCCAATAAACTCAATATTGCATGTATAGATTAATGCTGATTAAATTTTAATTAAGTTGTTTTTTTAAATTCTATGATTGGTAATGAAAATATCATATTTTTACTGTTTTCATCATTCTTAATTTTAATTTATTAAATAGATAATTAATAAAAGAAAATTATAAATTATAATGTAATATCATATTCGCCTAAATAATTTGTTTTAAAATTTGCAATTTAACTAAATAATCAATATTTTATGAACATAAAAATTAAAATAACTCAAATCATATTTATACATAATGGATATTAATAAAACTTTCAAAATTGTATTTAAGTTGCCCTATTTGTAGTTGTCTTCTTAACTTCATTTATCACGCAAATATTCATTCATTACTTACAGTATTTAAAATATTTTATTTTTGAACTAATGCGATACTAAGAAAATTATTATATTATTATTATTTTAAAATATGTTAGTTTATTAAACTCGTGGGCTATATTTATTCAAAATGTGTACGCATAAAATGTATACATATAGAGATTAAAGACATTAATTGAGGTATAGTTTGTCTTTAAAAAATATACGAATCTAAGTATAATTCATGTACAATATATCTAAAAGTATATACTTAAAATGAGTATTTGAGATTATTAAAACAAATGTACTTAACATATTAATAAAATAGAGATTATACTTTGTTTATGTTTACTCTCCCTCTGTTTATTTTATTTATGATAAAAAAATTTTGTCAGAAATTTTTTTTTAAATTTTTTCATCCTCACTTCTCTCGATAAAGGAAAATTATCGCCTCTGCAAATAAGACTAACAATGTATGAAATTAAATAAAAATTTTAATTTATTTTAATTACACTAATTATAAAATATATTTTTTTATATATAAAAAATTAGTGCAAACTGAAAAAGAAAAAAGTCCGGTCCGAGCCAATAGTGGGCTCGTACATTTAATTTGGTAATGGGCTTGCTGGGAAGAAAAAGTCAACGGACTACATCTCATGGGCCGATATCACATTGGGCTTCTTAGTACGTAAACTCCACGTCCACGCGCTCTTACTTTTCAACGCACCTCAACCGCCAGCTGGGTCCACCAAGGTCTGAGTCTCGTGGCTCTTTTACAACTTTTTTGAATTGCTCTCCTTTTTTTTCTCTTTTCACTGTTCTTGATAACTATGGTTTAACCCCCAACATCAACAAACATCCCTTTGTTAGAATCTTATGTGATGTAAATCTAGTGTCATTCTAATATGATATGATTTTTATTATTTTTTAATTGAATTATATTAACTTCAAATGTAAATTTTATTTAAAAATATTATTTATACTTATTTTTAATCATAAAAAAATATAATTATCTTAAGAGATTATAAAATTTAAATTATATATAATTTTTTTTTTATTGTTTCACTTGAAATTACTGTCGAATATTTCGAACCTATTATTATTATTATTTTTTTTAAATTTTCCCGACCCATGAGTGGGGTCCATGACCTCCATCATTAATAGGAGAAAGTCATCCATAATTTTAATTAATACGGAAATGAAACGCACGTACTGCTGCTACTTTATTGTATATTACTTGTGGGTATTTAAAATACAGTATTAATTATAACATTAATTATTTCAATACTTATTCTCTGATACAAATTATTAGTTAATTATACTTATTAATTATTATAGTATAATTTTTAAAGAATTATTTGTAAAATATTAATATTTAAAAAAAATAAATAATAAATAATTTTAATAAAAAATTTGCAGATCAAAACTTTATTAGTTGCCAAGTCACGTAGCGTTCCCTCTGGTTTCCCATTAAACTACTCTTAATTATCTTAGTTGCTCAGACATGAATGCTCGTTATGAACAAACAATTAATTATAATTGGATTATTAATTCTAATCCTATAATTAATTATAAATTAATAATCTAAACCACAGCAATCATTTTCAACTAGTTTCCATAATATACCTCCGTGTCACCACCGCCAACCACCGCTTTCATTCTCTGATTAACACCGTAGCCAGAGCCAGATCAATCAAATTCAACTACCAGAGTAGACAAACACAGAGAAAGAAAATGAAGCCTTCTTCCCTCTCTTCAGTTCCCTTTTTCTTCCTCATCATCATCCTCTTCGCTTCCGTTCAAATTCAAGCACAGCAAACAGATTCCTGCACCTCCAATCTAAACCTCAAAGATCTCCCCTTCGATTCTACCTCACTCCAATGCCTCTCTGTTTGGAACAATCAAGGATTCGTCCTTCGAGTAAGTTTTTTCTTTATTTCCAAAATCACATTTTACTTCAATGAAGTATTCATTAATTAGTGCCATGAACCAAACAAAAAAACATGACGCAGTACGCACAAACTTCACCGAATCTATGGAGCTTCGTTCTGTCCGCTCCGGATCCGGGTTCGTACATCGCAATGGGGTTCTCAGCCGACGGGTTGATGGTAGGGTCCAGCGCTATCGTGGGTTGGATCTCATCGGACGGCGGAGGAGGTACCGTGAAGCAGTATTTCCTCGGAGGAAAAAAACAGAATCTAGTGGTGCCTGACCAGGGGAATCTGCAAGTTGTTAACAATTCTACGAGGATATTATCCCAAGCGTCGCGGATGTATTTGGTTTTCCAGCTGAGAGCCAACCAACCGTCGTCAAGGGTGTTGTATGCCGTTGGGCCGGCCGGATTTCTGCCGTCAGCGCCGAGCTTTGAGTTGTCGGAGCACCGGGACAAGGTCTCCACTTCCGTCAATTACGTAACCGGTAAGACCAAGGGACGTCAGTTTTTTGTCGTTTTGTTGGCTTACTTTTTGTTTTATCGAATTTGGCGGGCTTCTGCATTTCTTTTACCGGGACGACGAGATGCTAAAAGAATAAAATTGTTTCTGAATTTTTTTTTTTTAAAAATTTAAAATTTTAATAAATATAAATTTAAAATTTTGAAATAAATATTTCTAAAAAATAATTTGTAATATAGAAAGTAAATAATATTATTAATCGACGTGAATTATATTTCTAATAAGAATATATATTAATTACTTTTCAAATAATTAAAATATAATATTAATTTATTATTCTATCTATTATTATTTAAATAAATTTTATTTGAAAAATAATAATTTTTAAACATCTTGAAATAATTCCAACTGTTAGAATAAGTTTTTTGAAAAAATTAATAGCTATTTAAATAATTATTATTCTTATTTTTTTATTATTTTAAAATTTATTATTAATGTTCTAATAACAAAATTAATTAAAAATAGTTTTGAAGTAAATTTATCAAACACTAAATTTTATTTCTTATAAACAATTTTACTTTGAACTTTTTTTTTGGGTAATGATGAAAAACTTAGCTAACGCCATAACTGTGTAAAAGATTTATGATTTAGGATTAGAAAAAAGTTATTACACATTTGATTCATGAGTGAATGAGTTATTTAATCAGATTGAGTTTTGTACTCCTGTTCTTAATTACAGTGGAAATTAAATGTTTTTTTTTTTTTTGGGGGGGGGGAAATGGGTGAAGGTGAAAGTGCATCAGAAAGGCAATATACAAGCTTAAGAAAGGGCCATGGGATGCTGAATATGGTGGGATGGGGGATATTGATGGTAATTGGAGTAATAGTAAGTCGGTTTTTGAAGAAATGGGATCCCATCTGGTATTATTCCCATGCAACCATTCAGTCTCTGGGATTCATGCTTGGATTCATTGGTATTCTGCTTGGACTCCTTTTGGAAAATCGCCTTAGTGTCGATGTCTCCACCCACAAAGGTATTGGGATCTTCATTCTTGTCCTCGTCTGCCTTCAGGTAATTATTTATGCTTCTCATTCATTCCCTTTATTTTTCTTCACATTATAATCACTTCATTACAGAAAAGATCCTGTTTTTCCGATCTAAATTGTTATTAATTTCTCAACACGCATACTTAAGTTCTGCCCAAATAGAGTTTGATTTCTGCAATTAATCTCCATAGAAGTTAGATAATTACATGACCAGAGTCAAAACAAAAAATTGTTGTCACATTCTAAACTTCTACAAGTAAAAGGAATCAAAATCTGTTGGTGGATTATAACTTTTTATTTAACTTTTTCCCCCCTCAATATTTTAATAACATGAACCATCACCAGGTTTAGGAACAAATGCCTTATATTATAACTTTCAGATTCTTCTACTACAGTGTAAATCATGTTTGAAAATAGTGGTTCGTTAATTCAAGAAAAATTTTAAATACCTATTAAACTCATCACATGGTTTTAAATGTATATTGTGATGATTTTTCTATCAATTATAAGACTATAATAACTCATATTTTTAGTTTTATTCTGAAATAATATTTACAACACACACACATAGTAATAACACAGTAGTTTAATGGTTAAATAATCTCGTTTTACTTGAAAATAATAAGTTTGAACTTCAATAAAAATATAAAGTTAATAAATTCACGAGCTTATTATCGTTTCACTTGAAGTTCATAAATTTAAACTTTATCTAGAACATAAAAGGGTGCAGCTTTTCATGATTTTATCTTAAATTTAACAAACTTCTAACTTAATTTAATAGTGTATAAGTGAAATTACACTAATTAAGATGAATTTGTTCCAATGGGCTATTACAATTCTGTGAGCATTTTTTTTTTTTTTTATAGTTGTGGTAACCATAACGAGTTAATAATCAATTTAATATTTTTCATTAGAACATATCATAATATACGCAGATTAAAGTAAGAATTAGGAGAAAAAGAGAGAATACATAAAGTTTAGCATATCTGATAGTTTATCGATAATTATGAAGTTATTTTCAAAATGTTTACTATCTGAAATTAACTTGTAGAAATTAGAATATTTCTTCATATAATGAAAAAAATAGAACATTTACAAAAGTACTATGGTATATATAAAAAAAAAATCTCTATTTTAAATTATCATCTTATACTATTTTAGACCTATGCTTATTTATGAGAACCTACTTGTGAACTAGAAATTTTTAGAATATAAGTCATAACTTAATAAGTTTTAGACAATCAAATCGATATCTACCACCTAATTTTTTGTTATTCCGTTACTTTTAGTTGCTAGGATTTGAATCTTTGGTAGTTAAAGCTTCTTATTCTTAATAATAGTGTAATTATTAAATTGGAGTATTAGTTTATAAAGATGGCCATAGATTGTGTTTGGAATAAGCTCTACCCATCGTTAGACTCATCTATTAAATGGAAAACAACCTATAACGATGATTACTTACATCAAAGATGTATATATCTATAGATGATGAAGTAGTAGATGTTATGTTTGCACCGGTTTGGGAGAGAAAAATCAGTTGTTTCTTTCTCATTATGATGTGTAATATATATAATATAACACATGTTATGGATAACTATAAGGTAGGAGATAGGAGAAAAGAAATACATGATAACTATAGATTGTTATATGATAAGCATAAAGGGAGTAGTTGACAGAAGGTAGATGTCCTTAACACCCCCTGACAAGCCCATGCTTCGAAGATTGTAAACGAAACTTATCACGAATGAACAGGAAACGATCACGAAGGAGGGGCTTGGTGAAAATATTAGTAAGTTGATCCTTGTTGGCTAGAAAATGGATATGATTATTACCATTTTTTACCTGCTTTCGAACAAAGTGATAGTTGAGTTCAACATGCTTGGTGCGAGCATAAAGAACAAGATTAACAGACAAATAAATGACATTGATGTTATCGCACCATAGAGTAGCTTTGTTGGATAAAAGAAAATCAATTTCTCGCATTAGCCCCTGTAACTATAGTAAGTAAGAAGTAGTATTAGCTATAGCCTTGTATTCGCTCTCTGTAGAGGAATAAGCAATGGTGGGATTTTTCTTGGCAACACAGGAGACTAGATCCTTGCCAAGGTAAATGGCATAGCCCAATGTTGACCTTCGATCATCAGGAAACCAACCCCAATCACTAGCACTAAAGCATTGGAAATCAAATGTTGTATCACGAGTTAATAGGATACCAAGAGAAGTTGTGTGCTTTAGATAACGCGGAATGCATTTAACTGCCTTCCAATGAGTCTCGGTTGGGGCATGCATGAATTGATATAATCTGTTGACTGAATAATTGATGTTCGGCCTGGTGATAGTTGCATATTATAATGCACCAACAACATGACGATACATAGTGCCATCTCAGAGGGGGTCACCCATGGACTTAGACAAGATAGGAGAGCCAACCATTGGCATTGGACACGACTTGACATCTTCGAGTCCTGTTCGAGAAAGTAAGTCATGAATATACTTCGTTTGAGTAAGAGACTATTTTTCGCATAATTGACTTTAATGCCCAAAAAGTAGTGAAGCTTGCCAAACTCTCGTACTGGAAATTCAATTTTAAAAGACAGAATAATATTGGTAATGAGAGCTGAATTATTTATTGTGAGAATTAAGTCATCAACATAAGCAAGAAGAAAAGGTTTGTCGGTGCTATGGTGATAAATAAATAGTGAGCTATCAGCTTTCGAAACATGAAAACTAAGAGAAATCAAGAATTGGCACAGGCGGATAAACCAGGCTCATGGAGCTTGCTTAAGACCATATAAGGACTTTTGCAACCTGCAAACAAAAGATGGATTAGCGGTAGATATAAAATCCGATGACTGCTCCATGTAAATATCATCCTTCAAGATGCCATGAAGAAAGACATTCGAAACATCTAACTGTTGAATGTCCCAACTTAGAGTGGTAGCAATCGACAGAAGGATTCGAATGGTGAAGGCTTTGATAACAAGGCTGAAAGTTTTCTTGTAATCAATACCAGATTGTTGTGAGAAACCCTTTACGACAAGCCGAGCTTTATAGTGATTAACACTCCCATATGATTTTCTTTTAATGCGAAAAATCATTTACTGCCAATGACATGCGTATGACTTGGACAGGGAACCAATGTCTAGGTTTTGGTAGCCTAGAGAGTATCAAACTCAGTCTGCATAGCATCATTTCATTCTTTACAGAGGGAGGCTTGTTTATATTTGGTAGGTTTAACTTGAAAATAATCTAGTTTGAGAGAATTTGGGCAAGATAGGCTACATGTTTACGGGTCATAGTAGATTGGTGCAAGATCATAGGGTGACTACGTTTTGGGGAGAAGTTTGATAGTTTTAATATCAAATTGAGTAAGATCGACAGTTAGAGGTACAGTTGGCAGAGAAATAGATGAGGATGTGTCTAAAGAGTGGGATATGGAAGTGGATTCGGGGTGATAAGGTATGGTTGAGCTAAGAGTACTAGAAGGGGACGATAGAGGTGATGTGGGAGAGTTAAGAGATAAGGAATTAGAATTATCCATACTTGAGGAGCCCAAGTGTGTACCGACTATTAACCAAGGAGAAGGATCAATTGTTGCACCAGTAGAAGTTAATGAGGACACGACTGAAGAGGATTTAAAAGGATATACTTTTTCTTGAAATTCAACATGTTTCCAGATATAGATCCTATCTAAAGAAGGATCTAGACACCTAAAATCGAAATGAGAGGGAGAGTTGCTTAAGTAAACATAAGGACTGGATCTATAGGAGAACTTTTGACGGTTGTATGGATGGAACAGAGGGAATATGAAACAGCTGAAAATTTTGAAAGTATGATAAGAGGTATCAATACCAAATAACTTCCTAGAAGGACAACAATTCTTTAAAACATATATAGGTAATGTGTTAATCAAAGAGACTACAAACTCAGAGGCAAATTGCCAAAAAACGAAGAGGGACATTTGCGTGACCAAGGAGAGTGAGACTCATATCAACACTATGATGAATTTTTTTTCCAGACAAGTCATTTTGTTCATATGTATGGGAGCAAGCTAAACGATGCATGTGATTTGCAAAATTGGTTAACTTTTTGATATTCACCACCGAAGTCAGATTGAAATGATTTAAGTTTGGTGTGAAATTGGCATTCAACATAAGCATTAAACTGAAGAAATTTGAAAAATAATTCACTTTTATTCTTAAGAAAATATACCTATATGTACCGGGTGAAATCATCAACAAATATGGCAAAATAAGGATGACATTGACTTGATAAAGTTGGTGTAGGACCGCAAATACCTGAGTGAACTAACTCAAATGGCACTAGAGTTTTATGATCAACAGAGTGTAAACTTAATCTAGACAATTTTCTAAAGGACAGGATTGATAGGGAGTTGAAGAAGATGAGCTCGAATTTGACAGATTGTGAGACTTGATAATAGAGGAAACCGCACGGTGATGAGGATGTCCAAACCGAGTGTGCCAATCATCAAAGCTTGAAATGGTACTAACATTTACTTGCTTCTTTGGTGGATGCAGTACATAGATTCCATCTTCACTGGGCCCTCGTAGGAGGATTCGCCTAGTCGTCTGATTTTTAACAAGAAAGTGTGAGGGCCAAATTCAAAGAAACAATAGTTATCAGTTGTGAATTTTTGAACAGAGAACAAAGGTTGTGTAATTTTTGGTACATGTAAGACATTGTTTAATTAAAATTTATGAGGAAAAGAATGATAAATTGCTTTGCCTGAATGAGTAATTTACATATCTTGGCCATTGCCAACCCTTAGGTGGTCACCGCCAGTGTAGTCATTGGCGATGTTGAGAGAGGCAAGATCCGGACTGATATGGTGGGAAGTTGCTGTATCTGAATTCCATGGTAAATATTGAGCACCTTGGTAAAAGGCCAGATTGTAATGGGGAGCAGTAGTACCCATTCTTAAATTAACACAAGTGAGATTCGCTTGTATTGGAGCAAGTTGCCGTGGAGTGTACCTTTGCGACAACGATCAACCGTATGGTTTCTGTAACCACATATCTGACATGGTCCTTTGCGTTTGGATTGAGAGAACTTGTTGTAATTAGAGGATGGCTGAGACTGTTTGGTATCAACAGTAGAAGATGGAGCCTTTTAAACAATATTAGCGATAGGGAAGTCCTGAATGCTCTTTATAAGAATTTTATGGGCAAGGAGCTGACCATGGAGCTCATGAAATGGTACAGGTTCAGGCATCATATTGAGTGCAATAATGATTCCATGAAATTTTTGACCAATATTACGATAAATAATCGTATTGAACTCTGCAACGGAAAGTTGACGACCGGCAGAGGCAAGTTCATTAGCCAGAGCCTTAGCCTTATAGAGAAACTGAGAGACAGATAAGTCATTGCGTTTAAGGTCTTGAAGCTCTATATGCAGTTGAAGTTGTATGTTCTGAGATACAGAGCCAAATGCATTTTTTAATGCACTCCAGACAAAAAAGGAAGAGGGGAGCCCAATGATATAGGGAAAGATCTCCTCTGATAGAAAGAACAAGAGCCAGGAAAGAAGCATCTGGTCTCTCTTAAACCAAGCAAAATACGCAAGGTTAGCAGTAGCGGTGGGTGGATCACTGTTGGTTACTGTTTTTGGTGGGGTTGGTTCACTACCATCAATGAGACCCATGAGATTTTGGTAGTTGAGAATAGGGATGAACTGAGCCTTCCATGCTAGATAATTTTTGACGTCTAGTTTTATGGCAAACAAATTATGAGTTGTGGTGAGGTTGATGGGTGAGATAGTGATGGAGAGTTGCTTATCGTTTGTAGTTGACATTGTGTTTTTTTCTTGAAACTCTGATACCATGTCATATTTGCACCAGTTTGGGAGAGAAAAAATCAGTTGTTTCTTTCTCATTATGATGTGTAATATATATAATAGAACACATGCTATGGATAACTACAAGGTATGAGATAGGTGAGAAAAAATACATGATAACTACAGATTGTTATATGATAAGCATAAAGGGAGTAGTTGAGATGTCCTTTTACAGTAGATTCTGTATAATTTATTTTCTTATGTCTATGATATGTAATTGTGTCGAGATACTGAAAAATTAAATTGTTGTAAACAATTTTCTTATAAAAACCAGTTTCATAATTCATGATAAGACCTTTGTTCTTAAATTTACTTGTTGCCACCATTTTAATTATAAGATCAACAAATTAATCAAGTTAATAATCTAAATGACTGTTATTAATGTTCTAATAATTAAATTGCTATTGGCTTTTTCTGTTAAAAGGTAACGTCAATTTTGGCTCGCCCCAAAAAGGAGGTAAAAATGAGAAAATATTGGAATTGGTACCATCATAATGTAGGGAGAACATTGATCATATTTGCAATTGCAAATGTTTTCTACGGGATACATTTGGGTGAAAAAGGAAGTGGATGGAAGGCTGGTTATGGGGTTGTTATCGCTATGTTACTTGTAATTGCTGCTATCTTGGAGATCAAAATGTGGATCAACTAATGAAAAATTCCTTTTTGTTGTTGTTGTTGTTGTTGCCGCCTAGAATCATAATGATGCTTTTAGTTTTTGGTGTATTACTACTCCCAAGTATCGTCATTTGGGATAACTTTATTATATACATGTAAATATATAATAACTATAAGAAAACCATAAGTAGTAAGTCAAGCAGAAATTCACAAGTAAGCTTTTAGAAAATATGGATTTATTACAAATGCTAGAGAGAGTTTCAAAATAATTCTTGTGTAAATTCAGTGGTGAAAACCACCACAGGATTGGGGCAAGAGTAACATTAAGGGGGTACAATACATTTTCCATCAAATTTGACATGCTATATTATATACAAATATATTTTTCACATTAATTATGTTACCAAATATATATAATTGAAGCTCACCAACTACGTATGCCAATAGCATATTCTAATCTATACATAAAATTTATTAAGATGTATCTATATATATTAATTAATTTGCATTGATTTATACTTCATTTATATTATATACAAATGCATCTTAGTAATGCTAAAATGATAAAAAAATCACTTAATTAAATACGTACAGATGCATGCATGAATGAAAAGACATGCACATATATTGATACGTACCTAAAATAAATGAATATAACAAAAATCTAACTAGAATAATACATACCTATATAAGTATAATATGTACATATGTGTATTAAGTATGAATATACAAGTACATATGTGAAAAGACATGCACATATATTGATACGTACCTAAAATAAATGAATATAACAAAAATCTAACTAGAATAATACATACCTATATAAGTATAATATGTACATATGTGTATTAAGTATGAATATACAAGTTCAATGTACAAGGTGTACATATGTATGCGGAAGCATCTTAGATTGATTGAGTCTGGGCCTGTGGTAGTGCTGGTCCGTGATCACCTACAGGCTGCTCATTCTCAGAGCCTACATTCTCCTTGGCTGGTTCAATTTTCCCAGCAAAATCTTCACTGATCCTACCATCTGACCCTGATATATCTATACCAATCCAAATATATATATATTATCGAAATTGGAACTAATAATTACATAAATATATATGTATGTATATATATATATATGTGGTTTACTAGCTAGTATACCTGATGCATTTGATTTTCCTTCATTTTCTCGGTAAGATACTGACGAGTTGGGTGAGTGCAATAATAGTTTTGTCAATTACCATATTATCTACATCTTGGTTCATCACTGCCTCGTTCTTGTCCATGATTGATGAGTAAAAATAAAATTATACCTAGGCCAAAAATAATATATATATATATATATATATCGCGTCTCATATATATGAAATTAAAACTATATAAAATAACATAAAAAGAATTTGCAAGAAAATTAAACATTAAGCAAAAGTAATTACATGCGTATTGTAGAAAGTGAGAAGTAAATGAGAACAAACCCTAATCACTCACCAAACTTTATCTTGCCAACCTATTTTCTTTAACTGTACTTGAAAATATTATAATTTCACTTGAAGAAATTATCTCAACTGTTGAATTCGTTATTTGGACAGCTCAAATGCTGCAACCCCCATAAGAGAGTATATATGTAGGGCAGATAATCTACATTTTCAAGTAAACATACTAAGTATTTTTTGTCTTTTGGATCTCTATCCATAGTATCCATGTCTGTTTTGAGGTAATGCTAATCGAGTTAGCAATGAATTTTTCTTACCCCATTAGCCATATCTTTCCTTTCTTTTGGGTGGGGGAAAATAAAGAAATTAATTTTATATATGGCATGTATATTGCCTATGTTAGCTGTAAAACGGGGACTATATACATTGTACTAGCCGGCCTGTACATGAGAAGAGAGCCAACAAAGTTGATAAATAGGTAAATTCAAAGTCCAATAACTCAAATAGAGGGCTTTCTTTCACACTTTATTATTGAATAAACATTGAAACAAAAATTGAGGATATTGAAATTCCATCCCCATCTTCCTTATTTTTGATTCACAGATCTTTCCATGTCATCCGAGAATGTCGATAGAGGTTTTTTCTCCTTATCCTCTATATTAAAATTGTGGTTGTTGTTGTTGCCTCCTATCTCAATTTGAGCCACTGGAATATCAGTTGTTGCTGCCGCTCCCTCACCATTAGTGTATGGATTCTCAGTCACCAGATTTCTCCCGCATTTAGCCACCGGCAACGTCCTCGAATTCAGAGCTTGCGTAGCTAAACATTTCAGTAAAACAATCTCCTTCTTCATGGTCTCCCATTGTATGCTCTCGTGACGTTCTTTCAATCTCCCGCATTCCACACTCTATTTAAGATATTCTCTCTGTTCAATCATTATATATATAAATGTATATTAATATAAAGTATCTATATGATTTAATTGAATTCAACTGTATAACATATATGTGTATAGAACCTGATGCAAATATTTATTTCTTTATCTCTTTACGTAATATGCCTATAACAATTTTTTGACATGATTTTCTGATATGAAGAGTTTACACTTACACACCTATATATGTACATGTATATATAAACACTAAACATATTTGTTGTTTCATTTTCTCATAAATTCTGTATCTAATAATATTCCTGATACAAACGTATTAAAAGTATACTTATAAAGATGCATGTATAGGTACAAACATATATATATAAATATAAATTTTATTTCATGATAAAATTACCATGTGCATATGAATATAAATTAGATAGTAATCTAATTGATTAAAGATTATGATTACCATGTGCAAAAAGTGTAAGTATTATATAAAGTGCATGAAGTATAAAAGACTTTAACAATTATATTCAAAAGTTTTAATTTACATTTTAACAGTTACAGTTTTCACTTTTACAGTTACAGTTTATGTTTAGAATTTGCAGACTTTCACAGCCATAGTTAACAGTACAATATACAGTAATAATATGGTTCGCTTTCATAATTTATATTAACTATATAATTCATAATTTACGCTTACACAGTACGATACTATTTTAATCACTATTAAGAAGAACATGTAGAAGTTTCTTAAACATTTTCAATCTTTCTTTTTTCCGTCTACTGTTTGCTCGTGTATTTTTACGATGAATATTTTTCTATTATCAAAATTCGGGTGTAAAATCCCCATTATGCCTGATGTTTCCAGTATATTTACAATTTTGTTTAATAAAATATTTTTAGTTTAGTTCATTAATTTATGTAACTTTTCACTTCTTTGAGTCTCTAGGCAGAAACCCAACGCCCCTATTTAGCCCATTTATTTATGTAACTAATTATACATGCCATTCTTCTCTTCTTTGGAGCAGTAGCCAACACTTCTATTTTAAAACTCTTTGATTAATTTATTAATTTATACATTTCATTAAGTTATTAATGCATACACCCAACTCAGTGGCCCAGATTTTATTTCGACCTATATGTGTTTTATTTTATTTTTTTATATCAAGGAAAAATATTAATGAACTTAGCATTATTTTGTATTTTCTCCTGCACTTTTATATACATATTTTTTGCTAGATTTAGTTTATATTTTGTATGAATCAGTTTAGTCTATTTAAAAATGAAAAATCTCGGATATATTTCCTAAATAATTCGTGTTTTAATGTTTGAAATTTTTGAAATACCAGATTTGATTTTACTTATTCTACTATTAAAGTAATTAGTATCTTTAATGTTTGAAATCTGACTGGATAGTTTTTTTTCTTTGTTGAAATAATTTTGGGGTTGGTAGGTCTTGTATTCAGATTTTTGAGTGATGGACAAGGGAAAGCATGTGGTTGTGGAGGAAGCTAATGACACCATGTCTATCAACCTTGACAAGCTTCGTAAGTATAAAAAAAATCATTTCAAAAGATTTTTAGAGTCAAAATATACAAGAAAAATGTATATAAAAATGTATGTGTGTATGAATACTTATAGTTTATTCATATTAGGAAATCGGATCAAAAAATTATTAAAAAAAAAACAAAATATATAAGAAGATAAAACAACAAATCAACAAAAAGTAGAACCAATTCTAATTAGCCGTGGGAGAAAATAATAGAAGTAGAACGAGCATTAGAGAAAAAATCTTACTTTACTAATTAGAGAGTGTACAGTAATTTAGTACTGTATTTAACCGTACGTAATATGTTCTCCATATTTGTATTTGAGCTACGATGAAGGTTGAGAGTATGACCGCCAGTTCTCTAAATTAAATATTAGAAAAAGAAAATGGGTTCGTAAAAGTAAATGTAATTGCCTTATTTTTTTGTCATATTATTAAATTAATTTTTAAAATTTAACATTTATTATAATTTAATTTTTGATGTTTTTATCATAATTTAGTTCTTAATATTTTTTTTTCTATTTTATAACACTAAAAAAATTAAATAACTAAAATTATTTTAATATATTCTAAAAAAAAAAAAGTTCAAAAAAATGAATTTGACCCTTAGTATATGCTTGCTTAATCATTACTTCCATACAATAATTTAGTAAGTTCTTGAGGTTTTTCTTTAATCTCCAACTTTGCATCCACCAGTTTTAGAGACAATAAAATTTGGCAGTCTGCATTTTTTAATTGGCATCAATTATTTAGTCAATTAAATCAAAAATAGATTTTTCATGGTTTTGAAATTATTAATTTAATTCACCAGTATGCTTTTTAAAAATAGTAGAATAAAAAAATAAGACTCGAATTTTTAGCTCCATAATGCAAACTATTTTATTTTCTCTCACACCACATTCATGGCCAATTGGATCCGGTTCTTCTTTTGTTGTTTTGTTCTTCTATCTTTATATATATATATATATATATATATTGTTTTTTTATAAGTTTCTTATACGACTTTTCAAGACAAATAAATTATAAGCATCTTATATATTATGTCATAACAATTTTCTCATGGGATTTTCTGATAGTATCTATAATGCTCGTACACCTACACACATATAGATATACATATATATACATGAGTACATTTGTTACTTCATCTTCTTGTATATTCTGATACACAGGTTTTACTGGTACATTTGCACGTGTATATGTATGTATATACACATATAAAAATGAGTATATTTATTATTTAATTTTCTTATTAAATTTTGGGTCTAATAATTTTCTTATACTAACA